AAATCTGGGAGCAGAGCTGAAATGTAAAATTTACCACTTACTTTACATTTCTGTTTGAGCACCTCAAACCTAACAGATATAAAACAGGATCATCTACTTTGTTCCAGTGTTAAAACCCTCCCCCAGATAACCCCTGTTCCTCTTATTTTGCCAAATGCTATCATCTTTTTGGGATCTTCCCAGTTGTCTAAGCCAGAAGCCTGCTTGTCGTCTATGTCTCTGCCTGCTTCCTCACCTCCCCAAAACTGTCAACTCCATCTTCCAATTATTTCCTGGTTTCTTCCCTCTCTCTCCATCCTAGGCATCCCTAGCCCTAATCCAGGTTCTCTTATATATGTTATTGCATTTTCTTGCTAAATCATATCTCCATTCCCATCCTCATGACTATCACCCTTTAAAACATTCTAAAATGTACTCAAGGGGAGTGGGGATAGCTCAGTGGTAGAGCACATGCTTCACACGTGCAAGATCCTGGGTTCAATCCCTGGTACCTTCATAAAAAAAAATTTTTTTAAAGAGGTAGGTTTCTTAAAAAAAGGGGTGGGGGACAAACTACTAAAAAATAAAATAAAATGTACAAAAAATAACAGTAATTAATACTTTGTGGGATTACTGTGGTGCCAGGCACTACTGACTTTTGCATGTGTTTTCTTTTTGACTGTTCACAATAGCCCCAGTTTGAAAGAACTTTCCAAGGTCGTTCAGTAAGGAGACAGAGACAAGATTTGAACCCAGGTAGCCAGGCTCAGAGCTAGGCTAGGCTACATAACCTCTGGAACTTTCTGCCATATTGTTTCACAGACATGTCAGGGTCTGCTTCTCCTCCCCTGGTGGATGGCCTGGTTGTAGTGAGTCTTTTTTGAGCTCAGTTGGCTCAGTATTCCCTTCCAAGAGCAGCTAGTGTCCTGAAAATGTGAGTGGTGGTTATAAGGTCAATAAGCCAAAGAAGTGTATCCAAGGGGTTGGTTATTAGACAAGAGATCCTGAGGATGAGACTGAAAGCTAGGTGGAGACAAGGGACCTTCTAAGCCAAAGACCCATGAGGGACGGGCTAACAGAAGGGTGTTCTGGATATAGTGCCAAGAGCTACTGCCCATCTTAGCCTTTCTGTGCTTCCTCCTGTGTGATGCTTACTTGGATGGATGCTTTAAGGGGCTAAGTGGTCAGTCTAAAGTGTACCACCTCCCCCTTGTCTGTCTGGCAAACTCCAACATATTCTTCAAGATTTAACTTTAGCATCATTCTTCTATCTTCCTGTATACATTTATGTCTCCTCTGGGCTCCTCACACTGTCTTGTGAGACTGCAAATTCCTGGAGGGCAGTCACCGTGGCTTTTCTTTTTGTATTTTATACCACCAGAATCCTATCATCACTGACTCTAAGTGTGTTACAGGGAAGGCAGTTTTTGGCTCAGCACAAGGGAAATTTTTAAAAGTATACTTTAACTACAGACTAGTAGCTAAGAGTATGGCCTTTGTGTCATACTAACTTGGTTCAAATTTCAGCTGTGTTACCTTGAGCAGTTTAATCTGTTTGTGCCTCAAAAAAATGGAGATAACAATACCTATGCCATCAAGCTGTTGTGAGAATTAAATGAGATAATACATGGAAAGTACTAATCTCAGTTCCTGGCACCCTGCAAGCACTTGGTAATGTTAGATATTATTTTTTTCTATTATTTTCATGATTATTGACTAACACTACCTCATAATGAGGCGGAGTGCTTTGGAAACAGTGAGTTCCCTTTCATTGAAGGTATTCAAGCAGTAGTAAATACAGGAGAGATGCTGCAGAAGCAGCTTATGACTTCTAAGGATGCTTCTAATCATAGAAGAGGGGAGCTATTTCTTCTGATTCAAAGAAAGTGTGATCGTTAGTGTTACTTCTAGTGAAGCTGAGTAGCATTAGAATAGGGGAAAAAAAGACATCAGATTTGGCTGTATGTATATATCACAAAGAACAAAATATTTTATTCTTTGTCAATTGCAAAAGCCCTTTTATTTATGTTGTAATCCACATGGCAAATCAGGCCCTTACATGTAAATTCATGTCTTTTCAAAAGTCCTAGCTTGGCCTTGCCAAGATGGAACAAACAAAACTTTAAAGACTGTTTCAGCCCTACTGAAATGTCTTTTCCCTTTGAAAGAAGTCTATTAGTGATGCAAATGCAAAGTTATCTACACAGAAGATAATCCTAGTAAACAAAGCAGTGAAACTATTAGAACGTTCTTGTGCAGCATTCAATCCTGAGAATCTGGCTTTCCAGCATTAAAAAGGCAGAGAAAGAGAGCAGGACTGATTCCTATTTGGGATAGTTTATTAGGTCTGCTTATCTGAGCCCTGGGTTAATTATCCTCATGTTTGGCTTAGAGGCCAAACAATTCTCCAAATGTGGACAGGCTGAAGGAAGTCTTGCACTCTGGGCAAGTACTTTAAACAGACAAAAGCAGGGTTCTTAGCCATGGAATAACATTTACAGTCAGGAGTTTAATTCCCAAGATTTGAGAGCCTTAAGGTAGATCCATCCAGAAGTCACCCAATGATAAGCACTCATAGGGCTGCAATTTAAGCGCTATGCTCATAGCTGATGCTTTAAAATAATTAAAAATTAAACAATGGAAAGTCTACTTGTATAGGTGAAGATATGGTCATTTTCCAACATCTTTTAGTCAGAGCACACAACTTCTTTGAGAATTTATTAGCATGTAATCTTTCTGTAAGCAAAAGAATTGCAAAGATAAAAACGTATGTTGCAATTAACTGTAAATTTGCTTGACTATTATTTGATTATACTTATTTATCCTAGACCTAGTTTCTCAGGGAGCCAAGAGGCTTTAGGGAATATTAGTGGTCAGAAAGCGTGATGCCTAAGGGCATTGGGAAAGCGTTCCTCAAGTAAAATTCCAAAGTGGAATTGCTGAAAGTGGCCATCACCTCCTTGGCTAAAGCTTTTGGAAATGCCTAGTGGGCAGTTTATGGATCACAGAAAATTAACCTTCCACATCCACATGCTTTCTCGGACAGCCAATAAGAGTTGCAGCTGGTGTCCACACAGATAGTATGTAACGCTCGCAATCTGGGTCTTGAGCTGGGTGGGGTTGGGTAGGTAAACTATAGAGCTTCCGGGTCATCACGTGTTGACAGCTCAGGTGTGGGAATGGATCTTGTCCTCGCTCCACCCTCCACCCCCACCCCCACCTTTCCTTCGCAAGGTTGCTGGGCAGCTTGCAGTCCCCGCCCCGGCTTTAGATAATCCAGACGTCTCTGGTGAAGGTCAAGCCCAGCCTCAGTTCTGCGCTCTGCCTGCCTCCCACGCCCTCCACGCGGGCTGGCTGGCGGCCGTTCCGCGTGTTTTCCCTCAGAACTTCCCACGCCCTACCCAGTGCACACGCCTCCCAGGCCGCCCTCCTGGCTTGACCTGTTTGGCACCCTGACAGGTCCACTCCAAGGGCCCGAGTGTCGGGGAGCGGGGCCAGCACAGTTCACTTTCCTCAGGGGCTTTCCTCAGGACGACCCCTTCCCCACAATCCCAGAAAGTCTGTGGTACTCCGCTGGGTCCTCTGTGTGTACCTGCTTCTAAGAAAAAAAAAGTTTGGGACACTGGCAGTCTTGCAAATGAAAACTATACTACCTGCTCAGGAGGGGACATGATGCGGCGACGTCAAACTTTGTCGTTGCGGGAGTGACAAGCGAACAGGAGCTCCCTTCTGCCTGTCTCTCGCGCGGTCTCGGGAGCGGGCGAACCTTTTCTGGCACCGCACCGTAGCAACCGCGCGCGGGGCCGCTGCCCCGGGAAGATGC